CCTCCTCCTCCCGATTCTCGTGTCATTTTTCCATGGATATGTCCTTCAAAATAGCCACCCATCTGCAACATTTTCACCCCATTTGCACACGATTCGGTCGTAAAATTGGCCGTAAACTTTCAGTTTTTTTGTCGCCTCCACTTCGTCTGTCACCGCTCTTCCGTGTCACACTCTCGCGCGTTTTTCACACTTTTTTGAAAATATATCTCTTCAATTTGTTTCTTTTTTTTGTAATTTTCAAGTTCTGTTCATCGGAAAAATAGAATCAAAGTATCGGGGAGCACCTAATTATAGAGAGTATCAAAGCAGAAGAAATCGAATTATTTCCGGTTTATGACTTTTCAGAATTTAAATACAAATATAGTTTCATTACCTGAATATTATATTCCATTCGCCTGTATTATCACGGTTTCGAAACGACTGGTTTCGAAGTGTCGCGGTTTCAAAGTGCAGCGGAGCCAATTATCTCACTTAATGATAAAGTGCTTCTGATATTCGGATAAACAATTTATCAGTTGACAACTTTTTTATATCTTCGACAGGAACCAAGATAAATTGGCAAATTTAAAATTTAGGGGCCCTTCTATTACAGGTTTTATGGTAAATCATCAAGATCAACATGATATTCTGATAAAGAAAGACTAAAAAATACAAAGGGAACACTCTGTAATTTGAGAAGTTGACCTTTGAAAAATCATTAAGATCATCTCAATGAAAAATGGGGTTACTGTAGACTTCAGGCTGCAAAAAAGAAGCCGACGGTTGGAATTGCGAGAATATGATGCTCTTGAGACATTGAAATAATGAAATAAAAAATGTTAAAAAGTTAGAGGAAGCTGTGAAATTTGATGCTCGTCGCGACGGGCCGAATACAGCAGTGGAACGGACTAGAAAGGAGTGGAGACGTAAAAGAAGAAGATGAATTTCGAATGGAAGAAAAGGGAGAGTGGGAGGAGGTGGGAAACGATAGAAAATAAGAAAACCGAGAGGAAGTTTGGATGATGATGATGATGAAGACAAAAACGACAGAGTTAAGCCAGAAACCAAATGATGATTGAATGAGTGCAAGAGGAAGGATTCATGCAAAAATACAAAGTGACAAGAAAAGTGTCAGTAATGTTGGAAATGAGCATTAGAAGAGTCCGAAATGGGTCGACCCCATTGGGTTTTTTGTGCTTCTTCTTGGCTGTGCAGCGTCCGCCGAAATAGTTGATCCCCGGAGAATCCACGCAGCTTCCGAATACGCACAAACAGGGAGCGGGCCCCCGAAACGAGAGCTCCAGGGGACCGAATTGAGAGAGAGCCCATCATCATCATCGCAAAATCCGAACACACTTATTTTGTCTCGGCTGTCGTCTTGAAGAAAAAACTTCCTTTTCGGAAATACATATGAAAGAGAAGATGACTGAAAGGACTTGATCTTCTAAAGAGCACAAAAAGTAAGAAAGCTCATACAGTATTCACAGGGAGCTTAAAATTCCTATCTCATCCTTGTTGAAAGATATCAACACTGCCAGTTTTTGAATTTTGAAAATATAAATTAGGAAATAAATTATTCTTTCATGAAGCAGTTATTTTCAAACCCGTTTTTGAGTACCGTAAAACCTGTAATAGAAGGGCCCCCTAACTTTCAACTTTGAGCCAACTTATCTCGTTTCCTGAAAAAATATAAAAAACTTGTCAACTGATAAATTGTTTATCACAATATTGTAAACATTTTATCAGTTGACACATTTTGGATATCTTGCATAGGAGCTAAGATAATTGAGCTCAAACTTGACAGTGTGGGGGACCTTCTATTACAGGTTTTACGGTACTCAAAAATATGGTTTTGATTATGATTCTGGTAATAAACATCGAAGCTTAAAATACTGGTGGCCATCGCTGAAAGTCTCACTAATAGTAAGACAACCACCGTAACCTAAAAATACTTTTATTTTCCGGACTTGTCGTTTTTCACTGACCTTTTTCGAGTTTTCTGTCGTTCTTTGAATTTTACAGTACTATTTTTTACCCCACCAATTAATGTTGCCCCAACTCTAAACAAATTCAGAGGATTCTAGGAACTCTCATCGTTCTTCCTTGGTTTCTTTTCCCATGAGAACGTACATCTACTACGATTCCCAAAAAAAGGAGGGACGAAACAAGTACATTATGCTAGTATTAGCGGAAAAAAAAGATGAGCCTGCTCCGGATTGCTCAATTTGTCGCCCGAGTATGGAGATGGAGCAGGTTGTTCCCCAGAGAACGAAGAACGTCTTCCTCGTTTTTTCTTCTTCTTTTCTGTTTATTTGTTTCTTTTTAGGAGGAACCGAAGTAAAGAAATAAACATACTACTCTAAATTAACACATAAACGAGAAAAGAAAACAAAAGGCTTTATAATAACAATGACTCTGATAATGCATGGTAATTTGAATGGAAATGCTCATTTTCCGATTCATCAGATGATAGAAAACATAGACAAGATGAGCGGGTGTCCGTGTGTCGCTTTGCGTCGATAGATCATCAGTTTGACATACACACTAAACACACAAAAACATAAAGTCCTCAGGAGAAGAAAAAAAATAAGAAGAAGAAGATGAAGAAGATGACTATGGCACGACAATTGGCGGCCAAGACGCACGACAGGTGGCTCCGCAATAGTCGTGGCGCTGTGGAGGAACGTAATGAAATCGAACGAGAGAAGTTCTTTTTTATGCCACTTGATGGGGGAATGAGAAGTGACAGGAAATGAGAATTGGGGTCCATGCAATGGGAATTCTTTTTAATGTGTTTCTTATTTGTGCAGGTGGAGGAATCAAGAATGGTTGGAGATTTTATTCCGTAAAAATCTCCTGAAATTCTCGTATTCTCCACTTCTCGAATTCAGAAATTCAGAATCCTAGAAACTCTAAAGTTCGAAAGTTTCGAAATACCCAAATCACAAATTTATAAAATTCCAACATTCTAAAATTTCCAAATTCTGAAATTCGGAAAACTAGAAGTTTGGAAATTGGAATGTTTAGAAAAAATTCAAAATTCTTCTTTTGTTTTTGATACATTTTTATCAAAATGATCACTTTAAAGTACAAAATTGCAAACTAAAAAGTTCAGAAATTTCGAAACTCTAAATCTCGGTAATTCAGATTTCAAGTAATACAGGAATTCAGAAAATTGAAAACTTATACATTCGGAAAGTCAGAAGGTTGACTTCGAAGTTTGAAAAATCGAGAATTCAGAAATTTCCGGAACTAAACTGTTCCGAATGTAGGGATTCGGAAATCCCAATTCTTGAATTTGAAAGTTTCCTATTCCCAAATTCTACAATATGTTGATTCTGATATTTCATCTGAAAAATGGACATTTGAAAATTGAGAAAACTTTATAATTAACAAAATTCAGTATTTCTCAATTCCCGAAGTTTGAAACTTGAAATTTTTTTTCTTACGTTCGAATTTTTTCGAATTTCAAAATCCGAAGATCAGTGATTTCAGGTTCAAAGTTCAGAAAATCAAAAATCGAAATTCGCTGAAATGTGCCATTCTAGTAAATAAAGTCAGCTTTTTATAGCGGACAGGTTTCGAATTAAAAGCATTTTCTAAAGCTCCTATTATTGCTAAATTTTGAGTATCAATAAAATTTAGCTTCCCGGGAACACACACAAAGGTTCAATGAGCCTAGCACATTTTAAGCTGCTATTTTAAACTGCTATTCAGACAACATTTCTCGTGAAATGTATGGATTCCTGAAGTCAACAGACCAACCAACTCCGGATGTCGTGGGTCGGTGCACACCTTCTGAGAATTTATTTGGACTTGAGCAAAAAACCCTCTTTTTTCTGACGTTGTGTTATTTGAACTGGAGACATAGAGTATGGAAAAGAAATTGAATATGGATTCTTGGTGTCCGAGATACTTGGAAAATTGGAAAACTTTTATTTTGAACAATTTCACAGCTCTGGGTGTCAACTTTGTTTTTTTGTTTTTTTTTCGAAAACAATCCATTTTTTAGAACTTCATTATACCGGGAAACCTGTAATAGAAAGGTTCTGTAATTTTTAACTTTAATCCAATTTTTCTCGGTCCCTGTCGAAGATACCGTAAAACCTGTATTAGAAGGGCCAGCTCTTCTTTTTTTTTTCTTATTGTACGGTACCTCCGGAGGGCCCTGCTATTGCAGGGGCCCTTCTATTTTTCTGGTCATTTTTTCGTAAATTTTTCATTGATGAAATTCGACCAAGCTTCGTTCAAAACTCATGAAAATCTGTCAATTTCACCGAAGTTGAGCAAATTCTTATCAAAAAAAAATAGTGTTTCAACAAATTAATTTTAAATTTTGTAATATCCTTTTCTCACTAAAACGTATTGAAAGTTTTGAATTTCAAGAAACATTTTGAAGGAAGTCTTTCTTTACTGGGGTCCCTTTTATCACAGAGGGCCCTTCTATTAGAGAGGCCCTTCTATTGAAGAGGCCTAATACAGGTTTTACGGTATAACAAGTTGTCAACTGAAAAATTTTTATCACAATACAGAAACATTTTATCAGTTTACCAATTTTTGATAACTTGCAAGGGGGAGCCGAGAAAAATTAGTTTAAACTTGACAGTGAAGGGGCCCTTCTATTACAGGTTTTACGGTAATTTTTCCGTGTTGTATTTTCTATTGTTCAAAAACAATACGTAGTAAAAACCAATCAAATCCTCCTCTCAACATATGTTCTAACACTTTCCATTGCGTTTCACTATAGTCCTTTTTTCATTCGGTCAAAGACCAGCCAATTTCAAAAAATACGCGAACTAAATCCCTTGGTTTACCCCCATCTTTTTGTTTTAACACGGTGAGATGAACACTTTTTGATCGCCGAAAATTTTCGTTTTCATGACAAAGTACTTTTTCCATCTCTTCCACCTAAAATGCTTTTCTTTTTTCTTAGAACAACAAGTGTTTTTTCTGCATATTCCTTGGCCTTTGAATATAAATTCTTAGAGAAGCCATGAGCAAAATCTTATATATCATGTAACCATGGTGACATAGACTCCGCCCTTTTTTCAGAAACAAATGCATTCGAGAAAACAAAATTCGGATTTCAGATTTCTTGGCAGATAAGGCTGCTTCATGGGTTGGAGAGTTGCTCTTTCTTTTCTATTTCTATTGTCACTACCCCATGCATATTCTCAGAATTGTGCATCGGCACGTTTGGGAGCAAATGATGTTCTAGGTAAGAGGTTTGGTCATATACTTTGATCGCATACGTTGGATGTTGTGAAACATGTTTGAATATATTAAAACTTTCTTTGTGAATCTTTCAATATAATAATAATATTAATGTTTTTTTTCTTCCTGTCAGTGCATGGATTACCGTAAAACCTGTAATAGAAAGCTCCCCATACTGTCAGGTTAGAGCTCAATTATCTCAATTCCTAAGCAAGATATCAAAAAATGGGTCAACTGATAACATGTGTGTGACATTATTATAAACAATTAACCACTGGACAGCTTTTTCATATCTTGCAAAGGGAATGAAATATAAGGGCTCAAAGTAAAAGTTGGGGCTCGTCTATTACAAGTTTTACGGTAATACGAGTGTAAACAACTGCGAGTCACTAAAATTCTAAACCTGTGAGGAGTATTTCTACTCATCCAAAAAAACATATATGTTCGGAATTTACCGTATAGTTTAGAACTATAAATTTTCATTCCATGTTTTTTAATGTGATCACATGATCCCTAAATCAAACCTATGAACCAACTCAATTGTATTCAGAAGCAATTCAAATCTACAGTAATGAATACGCTCTAGACAGCGACCATGTGTCGTATGAAATCGCATCGACTGTCCCGTCAAACTCGTTTGATCAAGTGTCTGACTCAATACGTATTATGGTAAACAATCAATCATCTTGTCCAGCTGACTGTACAGTAACCCTCAATCGGTATACTGACTCATTTCAAGGTGATAAATAAAAAACTGAATTGAACTAATTGGATATTTCAGGTGCCGAAACTACTGTGTTGTTTTTTGACACGGATCACGCCTTCTACTTACCCAGTCATTACATGTGAGTTATGTTTCAGACACACCTGTGATCATATTCAAAACTCCATTCTACTTCCGTGAGAAAAAAAAAGAAAAAAAATCAAAGTTTTGTTTCAGAAAGGACAATAAGACTACGTTTGTATGCGTTGCGAATAATGGATCTTGTGGAGCTACAGTACCCATTTACAGATATTATAAAATTTCGAACGGCGGAGTTTGTAGGTTTAAAGTTCGTTTTTACAAACAACAAAACTATATATTCCAGTTCATGCATATTCTTTCGATCAAGATATCACATATGATGGGTATAATCAAGAATTCCTCCCAATCTGTTATGCATGGACGCTTCCAGCAACAACAGGTGAATCTAGAAATTATGAATCTGAAGGTTAACATATGAAATTTAGTTGCCAGTAGACCGTCTTGTGGAACACTCACCTTTAACATTCCACCTGAAATGCTTTCTAATTTGAACATTTATGACAATAATATGGCTGGCATTGAAAGAGACCACTACTATACAACACTTCCTTCAACTGATCCCAGTCTAGTGACCTATAATCAAACAGGCGTCCTTGGAAAAGTGCTGACATCTGCAAAGAGTACTGCTTGCAGTTGTCTTGTCAAACTTCAGCAACAGTTCGATAACCAAACCGGATACTTCCGTTAGTAACTCGTTGGGTTTTATTTTTGTAAAATTTAAAATTAAGATCGCCTGGACCACAAGCTGATTGTGACTGGTCAAGAACCAAATAGACCTTATGAAGAATATGTGGACACTGGAGAAGTGCTCTATTGCTCGAAAAGGCTTGGAGACTGTGGAGCAACGTTGCCTCTCTGGAAACAATTTCAGTTTTATGATATCGGTTTGTTAAGATAAAACCAAACTAAATTTAAAAAATAAGAACATTCAGATACTGTTTACACTACTGACTCATCTCCTCTTCCAATGTCTTACTTGTATCCACAAACTCCTCTTTGCTATATATGGCCTGTCAACTACTCTCCAAATGTGTCAACTATCGTTTCTGGACCAGTTGCTCCAGCTCCGCCAGTTCCCACAACTACCATAGTTCCAAGTGGAAGTGACTCTACATCCACGGCTACAATGGGAACAATAGGAACCGGAAGTAAAAGGATTTTGGATTCTGTCGGACTCACCGACCCATCGACACTTGGTAGCTCTATGACCACTCCAACTACTTCAGCAACATCGATAATCAGTTCATGGGGAACATCAGGGCCAACTCCATCATCCAGCGGATCGACAAGTAGTGTTTGGGCTACAAACAGTGCATCAACAGCGAGTACAGTGTCAACAATGTCTACGCCTTCAACTCCGGTGGCTCCCGGGACTGTGAGCTCATGGGGAACAAGCATGACAACGAATCCAACAAGCCTCTCTACTATTAGTGTTATGGGTACTAATATGGCTTCAAGTGTAGGTACAACGATGTCTGGAACATCTGGAACTAGTGGCACTAGTGGAATGACGGCTTCCGAAACTACTGGTACTACTGCATCGACGATGTCTGGAGCTACAGAAGCTATGACAACTCCCAGCACTATGAGTACTTCCTCTACAGGAGGAATTTCATCAACAACAGTCCATCTTTCGGATGTTGGAGCTGTTACCCCTGGAGTCATCATTCCTGTCAATATTAGTGCTACTGTGTCATCAACTCCTGTAATCCCAGTGACAGCTGGAGAAGAAGTAACAGAAGTAAACATGGAAACCGAAGCACCACTAAGTGAAGAATTTGTTCAAACTCCGGAGACATTTACTCTTTCCAACTTTTGGTTCACCACAACCACACCCTCTATTCCTAACGTGCATTCAACAGTTCCCATTCTTCAACCATCTGCTACCACAACTGGAACCGCGCCTACTGTCAGCTCTACCGTACTGTCCAGTGTCACGCCTTCTGTTTCATTGACAACAGGATCCACTGGAGTTGGTCCTGTGTCTCCTGTTACAGCCAATGCAGTTCCAAATCCAACAGGAATCGTTCCTTCGGTTTCTGTTACTGAAACAGTAACTACATCCAATGCGACAACAGAGCTACCACAAGTGATGGTGACTGGGCCAATGATTCTCATTATACCTACAATGCCTCCTCCAACAACCGAGAACTCGGCCACAGTAACTTCCACTCAATCGACTCCAGCATCCGGAGCATCAAACACAACAGAATTAGTTTCCGGATCATCAAATACAACAGAACCAACTTCTACACTAACTGTTCCTGTAACGAATTCCCATGAAGCATCTCCTGCTACACCAACACCTCAACACGTTGCACAAGCAGCGCCAACCTATTCGATAGTGGGAGGGGCTCTCGATTCCTTCACGAACTCTCCAATAATTGGTGCAATCATAAGTTCTTCTGTAGCTGCTTCTACTCCAGCACCAACACAGTCGCAGCCTACTCAACCAGTGCTTAATGCGATTCCTTCTACAGCTACCGTATCAACGACTACCCAGGATTCAGGTAATAATGTGATCTGAAAGTCATTTGATTTTTTTCATGCCACTTTGTATATTTGTATTCATTTTTGATGTGAAACTGTTGTGGAATAAATGGAGAAACTATATAATTGAAGGTATCATTTGGAAAGCAGGAGATTGGATCAGCAACGCCTGGCACTCTGTATTTGGAGGAAGTGATCAGTCTTCTACTGCTACTTCCACCTCATCTGAAATCTCTACAACAACTTCAAGACCAATTGGTGGGCTGGTTGGAAGTCTCATCAACGCGTCAGGTGTGAATCTTGAGTTCAAAATCTAGTTCATGACCTAAAAATCAAAAACTAGGTCACGACCTGATAATCAAAATCTAGGTCACGACATAAAAATCAAAATCTAGGTCATGACATAAAAATCAAAAACTAGGTCATAACCTAAAAATCAAAAACTAGGTCACGTTCTAAAAATTAAAATCTAGGCCATGACCTAAAAATCAAAAACTAAGTCACGACCTAAAAATTAAAATCTATGTCACGACCTAAAAATCGAAAACTAGGTCAAAACTAGGTCTACACCGATAGCTCAATTAGAAAAAAACATCTCAGGTGGAAACTCAACAAACTCCATAAATCCCATCTCATCGTTTTTGAGTGGAGCTGGAAACTTCATTGATCAACACTCGAATTCTAATTCCAATCAATCGTTTGTCAACAATACCATGAGTTGGATAGACAACAAAATGAACAGTACTGGAGAATTCCTATCCAACGCATGGGATTTGTTTTCTAACCAGACAGAGGGAGGAGTTTTAAACAACACTCAGACATGGATTGGTGGAGCTCTAAATAGGTTTGGAGAATCATGGAATTATGTGTTTCAATCAAGACATTTCAGCACGGGAAATTTCCTTACTAACGCTTGGAACACATTGAGCAACAGTAACCCTTCAGGAAGTGTGATTAATAAAACTGAAACCTGGATCGGTGGAGCAGTTGATAAGTCGGTTTTATTATCAAGCGTCCTTAACAAGTTTTGTCTAGTTTCAGTACCGGAAACTTCTTTTCGAATGCGTGGAACTCGTTGAATTCAAATAACAGTACTGGACCAATTCTGAACAACACACAAACATGGATAGGAGGAGCACTGAACAGGTTTCATTTATCTGAAACTATCAGACCCAAGTAGCGAATTTCAGCACCGGAGGGTTTCTGACAAACGCCTGGAACTCACTGGGATCTTCTGACAACAGTACTTCAGGAACTGCTGTGAACAGTACAACGTTGTGGGTTGCAGGAGCTGTGAATAGGTTTGAAACATAGATAAGACAGAAGTACTTTAAAAGTTTGCAGCACTGGAGAGTTTATTTCAAATGCATGGGATTCGTTAAGTTCGAGTAACAATTCGATCATAGACAACACAAAAACTTGGGTTGGAGGGGCAGTCAACAGGTATTGGTTTTTCCCGAATCTTCCACGAAATTAGCTTTATTAAAGTACTGGCCAGTTCTTGGCAACTGCATGGAACGAGACGAAAGAGCATTCTGAAAACTTCGTCGAGGGAGCAAAGGATTTTATTAACTCGGACTCGGAACAGAATGTCACAGCTCTTGCTGCGGCTCCACATCCGAATCCGATCGGAAGTGTTGCCAATGTGATCCATCCAATCGTAAACAGCTCAACAACTGAACAACCAACTGGAAAAATTGAATGGAACGGCAGTGTGATTAGTGGTCCAATTACAGGCCAATTCTATCTGTGATATAAAGTTTCGATACAAGTGTACAAGAATCAGTCATTCGTAACGTGCTCATAAACCTATTAATAAACCTCTTATAATCAATCTTGTTCTCTAGAAGAATCTACTGCTTCTTGTGAACATGAAACATATATAGTAATCGACAGGTCATATAATTCATGCGAATAAATTGAAAATATACAATCCAGCTAGTAAATGAGTTAGTTTGATTGTTAGAAGTATAATGTTTCAAAGTCAAGATGAGTTATCATTTTAGATGTCCTCGTCACTGTTCGATGGGAAATGGCGGCCTCTCTTACTGTTCTTGGTTGTTGGGAGAAGGCTGTCAGTGTCTCCTTGATTTCCAGAGAACCCCTCGTTGACGAAGGCAGACAGATGATTGAGGCGAGATCGTCTGATTATGTATTAATGAACAGTTGATATTTTGGCGAAATTTACCTGCGGCAGCACTTGCAGAGAAAGTAATAGCAGCAAAGCACGACGACAGCCGAAAGTCCACCAATGAGCATAGATCTCAAGTCCTGGTGTTCGTTCGAGATCACCCATTCGTTGATGTCTGAACGGATATGAGAGATGCGGGATTGAAGAATATCAATGTCCTCTTTGAGTTCGTTCCGTGTGCGAGTCAACAAATCCTGTGTCGTTTGATTGGCAGTCTCATTGACAGAAGAGATTGGTTCATGGCTGAAGAAAGGCACATTTGTGTTCTGGATCGCTTCGAACATTCCACTGAATGCGTCCTCGATATCGCGGAAGAAGCTTGCCGGGAGCTCATTGTCCGTGTCGTTCCTGAAACATGCCTATATTTCAACTTATTGTGCCAGTTTCACTTACACTTTCATATTCATATGAATCAAGTGACGAGATGCATTGATATCCTTGAGTGCTTCGCTGATTTCTTGCTCAATCGAGTCTTTCTTGTCAACGCGATGTGGCTCTGTGTGATACGTTTTGGGGATCGATGCAGCGAAAATTGTAGTAATTGCGATAGTAGTAACAATGAGGGTGCGCATCTGAAAACAGTGCATTTTAGAAGTTTAGAAGTACATGGGGTTGTACAAAGGCAGCGAGAGCTAACACCGCCTTCAGAGAGAGAAAAAATGTATTAACGACTGCGAATCAGCAATGGATGACTACTGTTTGACCGCTTCAAAGAAAGATCACAAAGTTTTCCCGGGGATGTTTTTTTCGAATAACATTTATCGGGTTTTGTGCTAAATCGCACTCTTCCGACGGTGATCCACCGTGGGATGTAGTCGCAATCGTTCCTCTATCGAATTCTTCTACACTGAAGCTAGTTTCCTTAATCAATTTCTTTGATTAAGTCAAAAAAACTTCAAAATAGATCTAAAGTTGGTTTTTCCAGAAACAAAAATTTACTTTGTACAAAACCGTGGTAGGAGTGTCGTGCCCTGTAGCACGCATGCGCCTTTAATTACAGTAGTCTATGAGACTTCTTTCTGTTCAAATGTGTCAATTTCCCTTCCCTGTCAGACTGCTCCAGAAGCCTTCCTCCTGTGTCTTTCAAGGTTTTCTTCAATTTAAATATATTGGTTCCAAACCGCAGCTTAATTACCACTGAAAAAGGACGATCTGACTGCTTATATTTATTTTCAGATGCAAAAACAAGGCCTGGGTCGCTATCGCTCACAAAATTCATCAGAAACTTCTCAGAATGCATGGAGTTTTCATGTAAAATTGAGTCAACCGAAACGTTTTTTTTTCAGCTAATAGCAAATACGGAGAAGTATCTTGGAGAGAAGTTGAACAAGATGAAGGATTCGGCACCAAAAAAGAACGATGTAAAAGGCGGTGACGCCTCTCAGAGGCTACCAAAGAAACACGTCTGTCAGAAGTCACACAATTCTTCTGAACAATCTGATAAGATACTAGTAAGTTGCATTTGTATCAGAAATACAAGCACATGAGTAATTATCTATTTTTATGGAATACCCTATTTTCAGGTCAACCACAGATCTGTGAAAGCAAAGTTTTGTAATCTGCAACGAGACAACAAGAAATTTTTCTGGAACTCAAACCAAAAAGGGAGACGTTCTCAAGCTTCATCTTCTCAGCCAACCAAGGATTTATCATGTAAAGCTCCAACGGTCCCAGTGATAAAAGATGTTCAAGTGGAAAAAACCAAAGTTACACCTATTCATGATCAGAGAAAAGTTATTTTCCTTGAAGAGAATTTATTCAAGAAAACACCAGAGAAATTGGAAACAGAAACTGCAGAACCGATTTCAGTTTCGCAGTTAGAGACTGAGACTACTCATTCCGATGTAAGAATCGATGAATTTATAGCTATTGCTGTACCAGATTTTTTGCAGATGCCGAGTCTTCCATTGTCGGAAGCAACAAGTCACAATGTTTCTGTCAACGCGAATTTTGTCATCGAAAGTTCTGAAGAAATTCTCAATAATAACCCTTCCAGTGGCAAGCAAGTAGAAGACTTTACAGAGGTGCTCGAAAACCGAGCTCCAACTGAAAAGGTGTGCATCGAAGAGCAGATAGAGATTCAAGCTATTTTTTGCAGTTGCCGAGCCCTCCATTGTCGGAAGCAGCAAGTCAAAATGTTTCTGTCAATGCGAATTTTGTTTTCGAAAGTTTCGAAGGAATAAATAATAATGCCTTCCCCAGTGATAGGCAAGTAGAAGACGTTATACAGGTGCTCGGAAATCAAGCTTCAACTGAAAATGTGTGCATCGAGGAGAAGATAGAGCTGCAAGCTATTGGGCAGACCTCAAATGCTACTGGTGATATTGAGCTTTGTACTGAAAGAGCAGTTTTTGCGACCACATACGTCGCATCAAATTCAAATCGGTACAAATCCGTAAGGCCTGAGCCCTAACTTCTAGTTTAGCATACTTTGTTCTTTCAGATTGAAATGGACCTGTTCAAAGATAAAAATGATAATCATGTTCTGAAAACCCCACCAAAAGCAGTGAAGAAACCTGATAGTTTCATTAGAACTCCTTCGTCTGGAAAATCTTCAATTTACTGTCAATTATCGCCGAAAGTTTGTTCTTTTGCTCCCAAACCAGTCAAGGAGAGAGTGCCAAACGTAATGAAAATGTGTTTCTCACTGTTGAATAGAGGGGTTTTCAGCAGAAACTAAGTATCAGTGCAATGATAGACGAAATGAAGAAAAAAAATGCTACTGAAAAAATCAACTCCTATATGATGTTCCTGCCGGAAGCTTTCAGCGATGGCACTTTGACAGAATCTACTGTTAAAGTAAGTGTTCATTTCAATAAATTTCATTAACTAATAACTAAATACAGAATCTCTACGGCAATTTCGATGTTGAAGTCGTCAAATCGCACTACAATCTGAACGGAGAGCGTTTAGGTTCGGGAACGATTTCTGTTCCAGGAAATTGTCACGAAAGAATTCAAAACTGGGCACCTGACCGGAAATGGAGAGCCATCAGAATGGGATTACTCAAGCAACGAGAGACGTCTGGAACAAAAGTGAAACTTTATTTGAAGCTCAGCGGCGAATGGACTCCAATCAAGATTGTGGTGATAAATGATATAGCAAAGAAGGTTATACCCTGTCATTTAGCGGTTTCAGACATGTCTTCAGGACAGTTATCACATTTCGGATTTTACTCTAATTTACGATTTCAACGGCCTATTTGCGAAAGCTGTAACCGTCTTTATGGCTTATGAAAACGCACAACAATTGCAAAAATCATTCGAACTGAGCGAAAGTAAGTCCTATTCACGAGTGATTACAGTGTATTGAAGATTTTCAGCGATGGAGCCCAATCTTCGTGTAAAGATACTAGAAATTCTGGAAACTTCGGACAAAATACATGTCCAGCACAAAAAGTTTTGATGGAGGAACTACAAAGAATTGAATTCCCTTTTTCGTTTCGCCAATAAGGATTTTCCGCAATTTTTGATTTACTGATAAGAGACAGTAATCTCCCTGCTGCTCTGTTCCTTGCAAATATGAGAGGTTTACATTGTTGTTCATCCGCTACTTCATTCTATTCATAGCCTATTGTTATAAATCTGTTATATTTACCTTGTTTGAAGTTGATATTCTCAATGCATTGGAAAGCGTATTTCAAATGTGATGTACGTCAATGTCGCATCCTCGTTCAAAATGTGAAAGTATTAATGTACCAGAGATGATCGGAATCCCTTCTTCCGAATTTTTGTTCTGTTCCTTCCTCCAAGTTTTCAATCCGCTTACCTCACCGAAGTAAGAACTCTAAAAAATGAGAAAAGAGTTTTTGATGTTGTCTGAAAGATGTATTACACATGTTGAGCAAAAATGGGAAATCAGCATTCGTTAGCTTTAATATTCAGACAAATTGGAATCAGTTCAGAAGATGTTTGACATTTTCAGCCATGTTAATAAAACAATGTGATCATAGTTGCATGTTGTAACTTGTAACGATGGTATAAAATTTGACAGCGGGGTTGCAGAAGACTAATAAAAAAGTTATAAAAGTGGTGAACAGTGAAGCAACTTGATTTCCATATCGTGAATTCCAAAAAAATCGCACGGATGGATTTTTGTGAATTGACAATAGCTAGCTTTTGAAGGAATGGTACAGACAGACTGTAATAGAGAAAGTGGCACCTAATGTAAGAAAACACGAGGGGAAAACTAGACAGTAACAATATACAAGATTTGGATAAATTCAGTTGCTAAGACTGACGAGGTACATATTTTTGTCCTTTCTTGGACGACGTTCCGGTTTCCCAGCTGGTAGGAGAATATGTTGGTCTGGTCCAGAATGGTGTTTGTTGGAACAAGATGGACAATAGTATTGCCGACATGGTCTTTCTTTACAGTATGAGCTCTTATTACTGTAGACATTGGTACGCTTCATTCGGAGAAATGATTCAATCTTCTGTTCAGGACTCATCTGAACCTGTAAAATATAAATCACAGATATCTTGATTACGTCAGATTTACCGATTCATTTCCACACTCAAAACTCGGAAGCGGCAGGAACTGATACCAGAGACTGGGTCCAATATTGTATTCTTTTCCAAGAACATTTACAGTTTGTTCTTGATCCAAACCAAATGATTTCGTCATGGCAAGAAACTTGCGAGCACCGGTTTCAACTTCGTTTTCGGAACCAAAATCATGGAGGACATCTTGGCTTGTGGAGTTTTTTGAAGAATTCAAACTTCTTTGATAGCCGGCATCGATTTTCGAGAAAAGATCTTCTGGGTCCAAAAATTGTGATTCAGAATCCACAGCTTTCTTTTTTGATGCACACGAGTTGATACTCTAAAAACAATTAATGAAAAGGATGAAGACTAAAACAGCCGGAATATTTCCGCAGTTTTTCCGGCATTCCGAACATTTATGCACTAAGAGATACACTTACTGTATCATCTTGTTGGTTTTGCTTTGATTTGCAACTCTTCAACTGATCGTAAACATCGAGAAATGGATTGAACCAAAGCCCACCGCACTGATCACATCCAACATCTTCCATAACGTATGGCTTAATTTCGATCAGAGTCTTGCTTGAATCAATATTCTTAAACTTAAGATATTTCCGTTCCAGTGCTCTACTGAACGATGAGTCTCGTTCGAATGTTACTCTGGCAGCACCCTAAAAGACATGAGATTTTAGGTAACTTGGTTTTCAAATATCGTTTACTTTTGGATACGCGTAGTCTTGGTCAATGTCAATAGTGACCAGAAGAACCTTTCCAAACTCCGAGAATATTTGAGCAATCTCTTCAGCTGTCACAATTCTTGGAAGTCCGCCAACGAATACAGTACGATGAATATCAATGCAAGGACTGTTTCTCGCTTTGTTCGAAATGTAGAACGCATTTTTGATGAACCACGGACGGATTTGAATCTGAAATTTCGGTGAATAAAACGAATGAGTTTCAAAATTCCCTACAGCTTCTTGACATCCTGGAACAACAACAAAGAAGTCATTTCCTGATTGTTGGCATTCTTTCATGAGTTTAATGACTGATTGTTCTTCCGAATAAACAAGAAATAGGTAGGAGTATGATGTCATTGGAACAGGCTTTCCGCGGGCTTAAACATATGCTTTGAATAATAATAATAATAATAATAATAATAATAATAATAATAATAATAATAATAATAATAATAATAATAATAATAGCGAAAAACCAAAGCTCACCATTGCATTTTTGTTTGACAGGCCAATCAACGAATACGGTACCGAACTTTCCGAAAAAAGTGTTGATGGTTTCACGATTCATGGAATGGGATATACCACCAACAAACACTTTGTTTGATACCACTCGCTGCTTGTTGCCATCCCGATGGTTCTTGACAACAACGTGGACATCCTCAGCTGTGTACATCGCTCCTCTTTCATAACCATCTTGAAATCCCAGATTTTTGTATTCACACGAATTTTTGAACCGAGGCTTACCGTTTTTGTAGTATCCATTCGCTGAGTTAATTCTTGAAGAAACGTTGAAGTTGAAGTTCGACCCAAGACCCTTGAAATCGTCTGTCGGAGATGGACTGTAATTCGGCTCTGGAGCATCACAGTGCTCTGCATAGTTCCCGTTAGTTAGAGATTGAGCAATAGTATTGAACGGATGTGAAGTGTTCAGTGGGCTTGAAATAGTTGACGGTGGACTTATCATACTGTCAAGACCATTACTTGCTTGGCTGTTTCTGAAATATTTTACTATTTTGAAAGCCAGAAAATATGTTCATACATCATCATTAGGTACTGAAGCTGCAGTTTTGCCATGTCGAGAGAAGAGAACTCGGATGAGCTGAAGCCGGGGATGCCCGGAACAAAAGCTCTACCATGACCAAAGTTCTGAAGTCCAGTCTGAATGTAAATCAGTTCTATGATGATACAATGATCTTTATCAGACCGATTCGCTGAGTTCGTTTTGGAATGGAGTAGCTTGAGCAAAGTTGAGATCGCCATATTCTTGAGGACGATGCATCGATGCATGCTTTGGACAAACATTCCGCGAGTGTGGATAAAAATACTCATCGAAGAATGGCTTGAAATCATGGTCAGGCGAGTTTTGTCTCCTAAAAATAACAAAATTATACCTATTGAATTTATCAAGTGTCTAAATTACATATTAGAGAACTTCATTGGCAAATTCCGTCTCATTTTCTCCTGTTGGCTGGTAGGAATCATTCTGTAAATTTTTCAAATTTAATTCAGTTTTTTTTCAATCAAGTCAAGTGTTATGATCACTGAAGGTTATTCTTGACATAAATTCAAAATTTAATTAAAAATAGGTGAAAAGAGAACAAGAATAAATATAATAATCCAATTTTAGGATTAACTTTTACCGGTGGTCTTCAAGGACCACCCATGAAGAAAACTGAGGACTACGGTAGCTGTGCAAACACTGGACGGGAAAATGGCGGGAGTTTGATTTTTAAAACTACTATTTGGAAGCAGTGATCTTTCGAACGGAGTTCTGTGATTCCATTTACCGTTTTCTTTCTTTTTTCCTAAATAGATCTTTTTGTTTCTATTAGCAGCTATAAATAGCAGAGTCGCTGATTGCAACTCTCGTTTTGTACTGCTAGCGCAGACATCCAGAAGACTGTTGGAAACGAATAAAAATGTTTTGTTTAAAAAAAACACGATATTTGCTTGAAAAGTTTCATGAATGGGAACCGATAAAAAATGGAGTGAGACATTTGGATGGATAGATATGAAACAATATATAACACTGGGAAAATGAGTATTGAAAAACGGGAAACAACGATGCCGAGTTAGATAGCCTCGATCATCTGCTTCAACTTGGTAACATCGAAACTGTCGTCACGAGCACATTCAACCAAATGGCGAATCTTGGGGTCAATAATAAGATTAGATGCGAATTTGTTGCTTTCAGCATAAGCAACTCGAACAACTTTTTGATCGATTCCTGCGAGCTTGGCAGCGTAGAAACCATACGACTTTGGACAGATTCCAGATTCCAATTCGTAGAGGAAAGTTACGTCTTCCATAGTAGGGTCTTCGTTATTTTCCTTGTCGACTACGCACTTCTGAAAGAATATTCAGATGTTTGGGTACTGAATACGAGACTTACCATATGAGCCAATCGAATGTTAGGATGATTAGTGAACGAGTCACAAATCGAATGATAATGAGTGGAGAAAAATGTTCGACAGACAAGGTCATTCGCAATCTTCTGAAGAACAGCAGATGCGATTGCAGTTCCATCAAAAGTGCTGGTTCCACGTCCAAGTTCATCCACTAGCAAAAGAGAGTGCTTGGTTGCATTTTTCAGCATAATATCAGTCTCTTTCAACTCAATAAAGAATGTCGACTCTCCACACATAATACGATCATTGGCTCCGATGCGAGTGAAAATACGATCAATTGGAGTTAAACGCATTGAAAATGCAGGCACCATGCATCCCTAAAGAAATAATAAAAATTTTTAAATTTGAATAGAAAACAATTTACCATGTGGGCAAGAATGGCAAGAACAGCAGTCTGTCTCATAAGTGTCGACTTTCCACCCATGTTTGGACCGGTGAGAAGCATAACAGCGGCTTCAGTCTGGCCCATTGTAGTGCTGTTAGCAATAAATGAAGTTGTTTGCGTAACTTCATTTCTTGATTGCAATGCAAGACATGGATGAAGTCCTTTTTCAACGATCAAGTAAGGCTTTGCTGATTCGAAATCGAACTCTGGCATGGTCATATCGAAGGGAGAAGATTTTGAAAATGTAGCCAAAGAAGTGAGAACATCGAACTTCGAAACCAATTGCACCGTTTCAAGCCAAATCGGATTTTTATGGCCAAACTGCTCGAAGACGCGTCGAGTAGCATCGTCTCCCAATTTGGATTTTTCTTTCTCAGCGATATCAAGAAAAGCGACAAGTTCCTCCGAGTCGGGTGTTGAATAACGAATGAAACCCTTCCTTCTCGATTTCAGCTCGAAATCGGATGACACTTTCGTGTTTTCGGGCATCTCCAGCAAATATTTCACTTTTCCTGAGTCCACAAATTTAATCTGCAATTGTTTTTGAAAGAATTGGAACTCTTCTCAAAAATATATACCGAACAACTATACTTCTTTGCAATTTTATCCTTATAAGCGTTCAATTCGCTCAATGCTTCTTTGACTTTCGCTGTGGCTTGATCGTATTCATCATCGCATCCCGCATTTGGAACAATTTTTCCGTCCTTGAGAGCAGTTGTGCGATCAAACATTTTCTGCAATGTGTTTCATTTCTAAGATTTTTTCGAAACATTCCAAAACCTCGAAATAAAAAATGTTCTCATCAACTTCCTCCACTTGCTGCTCATTTCCGAGGAGCTCATCCAGAAGTTCACATCCTTCACCTTCTTGTTGCACCGTCTGGTATTCCTTTCGAAGTTTGTTACAAAGTTTGAATCCATCAATCGCTGCCAATAACTCTCCAATCTTTTTCTGATTAGTTTTGATAGTATCGAAGAAAATCGCACGACTGTCCGGGTGCTTCTCAGAACGGTACTTGAGTCCGATTGTGTGGATTCTGTAAATAAAGTTTGTTTTTTTTTCCTTTTTTTTCTAGACGATATCCTTTGGCTTACTTTTGAAGTAGTCGGTCCAAATCTGGAATTTTCTTAAGAGTAGCGATAGCTGTTGAAAAGAATGATTCTGCATCTGAAGAAATCATCCACTTGATAGCTTCCTGACGCAGACGGAGTGTGGCTGGATCACATGTTGGTTGTAGAAGCCATGAGCGAAGAAGGCGGCGACCGAATGGGGTAGAACATTTGTTGAGAACATAATACAGGGATGTCAAATGAGAGTCTCTGCCATTAGGTACGATGTTCAAGTTTTCGAGAACTGTGCCATCGAGAATGAGATGTTTTCCTTTCCAGTCCACTTTATCATCTTCCTGATTTATTTTTTCAGGCTTAGAATTATTGGAATCATATAGCGTAATGTTTCGCATGGAGATCATGTCAACATCGATCAAACTGTCTCGAAGATACCACACAATTGCACCGAAAGCGGAAAAAGCGAGTTGCCACTTAGAAGACGGCTTCGGTAGAACACTCGAATCATCAAGCATCAATTTGAGAACATCTGGCCATCCAGAAACTTCTGATCCAAAATAATCATCCTTTGAAAGATCTCTAACACAGTCTTCCGCGGTCAAAAATTGTTTCTTGGGGAGCAAATGTTCAATTGGAACCGAGAACAGAATTCCATTAATGATTGATTTGGTGGAGACGGACATGGAGCTTCTCTCAACGAGAGTCTGCACAACAATGACGTTTGCAAAGAGGGTACGAAGTTGAGAACGATAGTCATCGTCTTCGAACTGGCCAACTCTAATATGAGCAGTAGTTGTGTCAATCATGCAGACTCCGTAAGTAGACTTTCCCGTTTCAGTGTTCTGAAGAATAGGAGTCGTTCATTCTCTTTTTGAAAATAAGACCTACATGAAACTCTTTGATGGCCAGTAAATGTTTAGCAGTAGGATCGAGCGTGGATGTTGCACTACCCAAATCAACTCCATCAAGCACACCGTACGTTCTGGTTCCATTCGAAGTTACTCTGCACACTTCTCTCCTCACTACCTTGTCCTTAGATTTTGCCTTTTGGTTTCGTTCTTCAAGCATCTGGGGAGTTTCCGTTTGTTCTACGCGTGCAACTTTGTAGCCATGATTCATAAGCTGGTCTGCAAACTTGGAAGCTGCGTGTTCTGGAAAACCAGCATGAGCATATGATCCTCTCATGAAAGCAATGTTCAACGCGCGAACGACTTCGACGGCATCCATGTGATAGGTTTCATAGAATTTTCCAACTTTGAAAAGAATGATGGTATCGAAGTGTTGGGATTTGATAGTCCACCATTGACGATGTCCAGGTGTTTGTTTCAAATGAAAATCTGGAGGAACCCACAATGTTTTCGGGTCATACTCGGGATCGGACATAGCACGTTTGCTCGCATCACGAATCTTGTCTGGTTTGAGCCAGTCGAGAGATTCATGATCGAATCTTTCCGTTGGTTCTTCTTCTTCTTGCTGTTTCTTCTTCGAGCCCCCTTTATCAACATTTTTCTTTCTCTCCAATTCTCCCTCCATGATTTTTTCAATTTTCTCCTCGACTACTGCCATCGAAACTTCTTCGCCCTCAGGAATCACTCTTCTAACCTTTCCGATTGCAGATGATTTTACACTTTTCGGAGTTTCAGAGAGAACTTTCTGCAAAACAAAAATCGTTGTCTCATCAAAATAATATTATAGCTCACTGTTAATTTCTTATTTCTTTTCGGAGTGTTCTTAGGAGTGGTTTGAGGAGTACTTTCATAAGTAACCTCACAATCGTCACTTGCGTTTTCGTCGCCCTCCGACTCTTCTGAAGATTCTTGAGCTGCTTCGGCATCTTTCATCTCGAAGTCTTCATCGTCATCGTCTTCACCTTCCGATGACGACAGCACAACTCGGGCACGTTTTGTAGCAGTTCGTGGAGTTTTTACTGGAGAACTTACTGTTTGTGAGTTGGTTCTTTTCAGAACTTTTTTTTCTTCCACTGAAAAATACAATGAGGGTTTCAAAAACTAACTAACAGAGAAAACCTTGACTACCTTTTTCCTTAGCATTTACAATAGGCTCCTTCTTCTTCTCATTTTCCGTCTCTAGCTTCTCCGATTTTGGAGTTTTCGTAAAAAACGACATCAGAGAACTTTGTCGTTTCGACATCCTGAAAATATTTAGAGAAATGGTACAACTTCGCAATGGAACTCAGGTATCACGGTCTTCCAAGAAACCGAAAATCAGCAGAGATAATAGTTTAGCAAAAAATAAAAAAGGAAATTTCATGCAAATAATATCAAAATCACAACAATATAATATCAAATTTGCAGAAGTTACAATCATATATAGTACAAGAGTTGAGTTATCCGCGAACATCATATCCCGCTTTTAAGTCCAATCTGGCTTTCTTGTCTTGAGCGACCAATCGTCGAATGTCTTTTTCGAAAGGATCTTTATCAGACTTGTTTCTGGAAACAGTGAAATATTGACGAATGATATAGGAAGTATATACTGACCGATTAAGATTATCTACCCAAATCTTGATAAGTGGCACATTTTCCGGAACCTCTGAAACTCGAACTCCAAGAAGCTGAGGAACTTTGGCATTTGATTGAACTCTCTTTAAGTCCTCTATCCATTTATCGTCGACGTTCGAGCTCCAGCGAGAAGGTGATGGGCATTTATCCGAAAACTTTGGTATACTCGATGATGCCAGAGATGGATTTTCAGTTATTATTCTGAAAATACTGACATTTTTGCAGTTCAACCAGAGCATAAGCTTCTTACAAATCAGTGTCAACGACGATCGCCAATGATGACGGAATCGATAAAAGGTCGGAATCAACCAATTCTGTAAGAATAAGTTGTCGTTAAATGCATCCTGCAAGAAAAATTACTTTGTTTTTTCTTTTCGGGACCTCCTGAAGCTGCAGTGTCTGATCGCCTTTTACTGTGGCCCAATCTTTCGTCTGATGACCCGAGCTCTGAATTTTTGCAAAATTTATCGTCTTTCTTGCTTCCAGATTTCCTTGGCTTTGCTTCTTGAATTCGTGAGGCAACTTTTGGAACTTCCGACGTTTTTGGAGATTCCTTATTTACAGGAAGACTTTTATTCAATTTTGCATTTTGTTTGGCTTTAAAAATGTATTCTGCTATAGAAAAAATCTGATATTCAAACCTTTCTTCTCTTCTTCCGCCAAAATTTCGCAGTGCTTGCAATATGGACTACTCTTTCGATTTTGTTTCTGACATTTCGTTTCACTATTTCGTTTTTTAGAGATCGTCTCATGAGACTGACTGCAGCTAGTGTCGGGGGAATTCTTTTTCAAATTAACCGCTTTCTCAGTTGGTTTTATGGTTCTCTTTGGTCTGTCAGCTGAAGCGAGCGTCGGTAATATAATAACATCCAGTGTCTCCAACGCATTTGAACCTTCATGAAGCTGGTGAGTTGATTGAGCCAGGTCTGAAATAAGATATTCCTTTTATATTTGTTATAATTTATGAAGCCTTACCACAAGCAGGCTTGCTATTGGAATCGTCCTGTTGTACAGGTTTCGGCTTCATAAATTTTCTGATGTCTCCTTTCGAGTATGGTAAAGGCTTTTCGGGTTTTGAATTGACTGTTTCACTTGTTGAAGCAATTTTCAATCCTTCCACATTTGCGACTGTTACACATTTCCCTGAAGAATTTTATTTTCATTAAAACATCAGATTTGAAGCTACCGTCAATAATGTTTCTTGAAGGAGTATTAGAAGTGGCTATGTTTCGCAAAATGCGAGGAGTGGATGGACCCACACTTGAAATTTCTCGTTTGATAGGAATCTGAGGTATGATTGGCGTTGTTTCCTTCAACCGAGTTGATTCAGGCGCCTGTTTTTCCCTTTGCAAAGATTCCTGGTGAACAACTTCGGACTTTACCACAATCATTGTCACTTTCTGAGGTGACACTGTTGTTGACTCTCTTGGACTTGTTCGAGTATTTTTTGTTCCCACCGGCGTTGTTTTTTCACTAGCGTTTTGTCTACTTGTTGGTTGTTGCACCACTAAAAATATGGATTAAACCATTTTCCTATATATGTTACTCAACCTTCCTGCTTCACAGACTTTGTTGTCTTATCGCTTCCCTCCTCCTCATCTTCTTCGTCAGAAGTTTCTGTACTCGAATCAGTTGTTTCATCCTCGTTCTCTGTGATTCCTTCCTCGTTATCTGTGGTCTCCTCATCGTCTGACATCTCTTCTTCTTCAGAACTGTTTTTTTCGTGAGATGAAAACATACTTTCACCATGAAGACCCGGGAACTTTTGATTATACGCGCGGTGCTCTCTCGGCAGTGGTTCGAAAACATCATCGTCGTAATCGCTGAAATAAAGTGATTGAGAGAAAACAACAGATTCTTACTTTGAAAACTGCGAAGTATCTCGTCTGTCATTGTCTTCTGAAGAATACCGGACGAATAGGGGTATTCCTGACACTGAAATGCAGAAATTTGTTCAAATGATTCTGTGAATCTTTCACCGTGAGCAGAACTAACAATCCTTCCTTTTCTTGCGTTGTCGTGAAAATTATGTACTTCTGAAGGCCGCAATTTTCGCCCAAATTTTTCATCTAACTGCTGAGATTTCTTTAATGCCCGACTATCTCCATCGAAAGACTGAATAGAGTTTCGAGGTGCCGAAACACTTCCTTTCCCGAAAAGCGAGTCGTATTGAAACATTCGGTTTACAAAAGCTTGTTGGTGGCACGCTGCCATATTTTCCGGAAAGTAGAATCTTCCATGTCGATCAATTTCGATTTTTGATTCTGGGAGCCCGCGTAGTTCTCGTTCTCTATACTTTTCCTCAATATGCCGAATGTTGAACATGAACCTTTTCTGAGCCTTTTCAAATCCATCTGCGAGATCCCGTGTTGACTGACGCGGCGTCACATCTAGCTCCCCGCTCTCTTCCACATCTTCCTGATCAGAATACTGTTCCGTATCTGACTCGTTCGAACTGTACGACGAATGACCTGAAAATTACACGACACTGAGCATAATCGGTTTTATTTTAAATTTTGGAAAGCCACGCAGTGTAGCTCAACCATAGAGGAATGCGAATTTAAAATTTATTCCTAGAACTTCGTTTAGTTGTTCAAATGACAAGTAACTGTGAAAACTCTTCGACCTCAAATGCTGTCAAAGTGATGCGTCCTGGACATGTAAGATAATCATTTTGACCTTCAGAAATAAGAAACCTAGGTTATCGATAAATGGCGAATCAAAGCTCTTCTGGGAAAAGGTGCTTGTGGTGTTGTTTACAAAGTGGAAGATAAGAACCGCAAAGGCTACTGTGCAGCAATGAAAGTCGAGTACGACTCACAGGAATTCGACCGCACGCTTCAAATCGAAGTTCATGTACTTAGCAAGTTGAAAGATGCCAAGGATGTTCTCAAGATCATAGACTGTGGAAAGAGGAAACACTATACGTTAGAACAACTCCAGCGACGCTTTTGTACGGTTTCAGTTTCAGGTACATGGTAACAACTCTCTGCGGGAAAGATCTCATGGCTCTACGGTTGAAGATTCAGAGAGGATTCAATGATGTAACGGCTTTGCGGGTCGCTCTTTTCACTCTCTACGGACTCAAACAATTACATGAGACGGGGTTTGTGCATCGCGATGTGAAACCGGGGAATATTATGACAGCCGCTAATCGTGGACGCGATTCACGATTTCTGATTCTAATTGACTTTGGAATGGCTAGATCATTTGTGCTGACTGGTGAAGATGGAAAAAAGAAGTTGCGTCCGATGAGGAGAAGGATCCCATTGCGAGGAACTGTTCGCTACTGTTCGATGAATGTGCATGAACGTGTCGAACAGGGTCGATGTGATGATCTGATTGCAATGATCTACACTATCGTCTTTCTTACGCTCGGATTGCCTTGGTCACAACTCAAAGACGAAAAAGAGATCATGTCCATAAAGAAATCTACAAAGGATGTAGCTTTGTTTGAGGTTTTTTGTGTTTATGCATATGCATGGGAAAATATATATTATAGGATTTGCCAGAGGAGTTGAAGACTATATTCGAGTATTTGAAGACGTTGAGCTACTCGGATAGGCCTAACTATGAGAAGATTTACAATTTGGTAAGATTAAGTTTGTCCCCTTTGTTCATTATTTTTCTTCAACAGATGATGGCATCCATCAATAGATTGAAAATCAACTTCATGGACCCCTACGAATGGGAGGATGAAGAAATTGAAAAAATGGCCAAGATCGAAAGAGAGGAAAAAGAGAAAGAAGAGAAAGAAAAAGAAAAGGAGCAGAAAAGTGATCCGATGAAAACTGCAAAGTCTTCAAAGCCAGCTGAAACGCCGATTCCCGGAGACGTGGATGAAGAGAAAAAATTGAAGGGAAACGATTCGGATGAACAACAAAATACATCAAAAGTTGACAAATGTAGCAAGTTGCAGAGCGCGAAAGATTTGGCTAGTAGCCATTCAGATGCCAACGAGAACTCTCAGATCGTTAATGTTTCAAAATCTGCAGATCGTGAGTTTAGCATTCCCTCACAGCAAAACTGATTACAACAATTCTAGCTGCACCGGGGAACACGAACGACATGGAAACTGCAATTGACTATGACCAATCAGAATACAAAACGAAAAAAGCGTTGCCGAGTATGTTCGAGAGATTCCCTGATATTTATCGAATGATGTTTTCAGGAGAAGATCTGCAATTTGTTGTGTTTCCGGCAATCGCTCCACATCACTTTACTGAAGTTATTATCCCTTTCTGATTTTCTGATCAACTAGGATCAACACTGGACATAAATCAATTTTCCATTCTTAGTAACTTAAATCAGCTTCTGAGAATAAAGCTTATTTACCGTATTTTCTTCTTTCTTCTCTTTTGAATCGCATTTTCCTGATTTGTTTTGCCTTCTCACGACGCAGACTGTTCAACTCTTGCTCTAGTCTTTCCACTTCCTCGTCATCAAGTATACTCTGAAATTCACCGATAAAAATGATGCGATATGAACTAATACACACCTCGTCCATGTTGTCGGTTTCCCTTTCCTGTCTGTTTGATACTCTCCTGGGAGTTATTTTTACCCGAGGCATCGCGGAATCTGAAAAAAAGACAGTTTCAGACCAGAGATGTTGTTCACTATGCAACGGGATTCTAAGTATAACAAACATTAACTATCTACTTTTCCTAACATATGATGCATAAGTTTCAAACACAACACGAATATTCAGGGAAACAGAAGACATTTTTAGGAGTTTGAATGTATGCAGGCAGAGTTTGAAAAGTAAGCTTTACCGCACTGTCGTGAAGTATGTTGCAAGTGAACGCGCATCTTTGCGGCATCCAAAAAGGAGGGAAATACGAATAAAATGTTTCACTATAATTTTTTTTTGAATTCAGTTTAACAAATTTGTTTCAGTTTAACAAATTTGCTTTTTATATCCTCTGTTTCAAATTTGAGTATAATTAGAAAATTCGAGATAAATACCTCATGTTCCGAAGAAGAAAAAAAAAATGACAAAAACATTTTCAAGAAAACTATGTGAAAATGCTGTTGAGTTTTTTGTTTTTCAAGAGAAACAGTGATTTCGGAACTGTCGAATTAAAAAAAAAACTGGCACCTGAGAATATGGGAGCCGCCAATTGTTTTGATCTACGAGACTGCGTCTTTATTTCAGAAGTTCTTACAAAAATTCACAGAAATTAATATTGCTTTGCTTCGTATAGATTTTGTGGCGGGACATCGTAAATCGACATGAGCGCCGTTCGCGAAATTTCAAGGTGCCAGTTTTTATTGAATTCGAAAAACATTTTGTCGCAGCGAAAACGAGCCAACTTTTATTTTAAATTACAGAAAATGATCCGGTCTTATGAGAGCTTAACCGCAAGCCTTTCACGACGAGGAAAGCTACAGTATCCACACTTCATCGTCGCGAGACCCACAAACGCGCGCTACGTTTCAAAAAAATCACATCGAGCTTTGATTTTGACTTCTCTTCACAGAAACTCATATATTCACAGAAAATCATTAAAAAAAAACAAATCATGCATATTCCTTAATAACCTCATTATAGAAATCTTACGGTTTCCTTGCTATTCGGAGCAAATTTCGCATGCAAACTCTACTCTGTGCGCTTGATGTCATTCTCTATAGCTATTATCACAAAACCGCTAAATGTTCACTCTTGCCATACTCGTGATCTTGTTGAAACTTCCCTTTTTATCCAAGTTGAAAGCAATTTCAAGTACACCTTTTTTACAGATCTTCATTAGTCGACTAGGAATAAAATGAGGATCATCAGCAAGGACCCGAACAAACAAGACATCGAGAAGCTAAACGAGCTATACAATAGTGCAAATACCATTATTCACAGTTTTCTCGGAAAAATTGATGAAATACAACGAGAAGTGGCAGATCTGTTCATATCAGAATTCGGTGTCAATGGATCAATTGATCTGCACTCCCTGGGAAAGTTGGCTCGAATAACGTCACAGTATGCGTCCTTCGAATGTTCTCAAAAACTCGGAAAGTACCAGTTATCCGTTCAAAAGTTCTTCAACGCATGGCAGAGTCTACGAAAAGAAGTAGCAGAGCTCTCGACCAAAGAAAGAGTGAGGTATGCTCTAATTCCTGCCAAGATTTGCTTCTTTTACTTCTACAACGGCGAGTTATGCAAGGCAGTAGTTTGCTTGTTGGACTATGTTGAATTGGTTCCCGAAGATGCGATGTCGATGGAGGCGGCATTAAGATGGTTAATGTTCCTCGGAGAAACGGAGTTAGCGGAGAAAAAGATGAAGAGCTGGAAAATGGCAAAAAATTCTGCAGATGTGTTTGAAGCGACGCGTATTGGTATAAGTTATTTGAAAACAACGGAGAGTCGCTCGGCCGCACTCGACCAATTGATCCAACTTCGCGATCGAATCAAGTCAGAAAATATCCGCTCCTTTCCGAAGTATGAGCTCTCCTCATATGTACATTGGCTGTGCTCCACGTTGAGCAATGTAGCCGTAGGAACAAGTCTTAGTGGATGTGAAGTAAGTTCAATGGAATAGATAGCCTTGAACAAGTCAATTTTCAGTTTCCGGATCGAATGTCACAGGTTCATGAGTCATCTTCCAAGGCCGAAGCCATTATCAGAAACAGAGTTCATGGACTCGCTGCCTATCAGTTCGATAACTCGGTGAATGCTTCTATCTGTCAGTTCCTAAACGAGGGAAGTCATGGAACAGATTACGGTAACTGTTCACTAACAAAAGCAGTAAATATATTTTTTTGTTTTTCAGTTCATTTGGGAAGCACCGTCGCCTGGCATTTTGAGATGCGCCGCGAATTAGCTCTCGTAAATGTGGCCGCTGCACAAACTCGTGATTCCATATCAGCAATGATTCTGAATCTTCGTATCGCTTTGAAGTCGGCTTCCTTTTTCCGCATCCTTCAGATGACTAACGTATTGGCATATTATACAGGCCTCGTTGAAGAAGTAGGCTGCGAGAAAAACGCTAGATTGATGAGAATATCCTGTGTCAACTTGCTATCCTCACAACCAATCGTTGTGCGATGCAGCACTCCAAAAGAAACCCGAGCTGCATCAAGAGCTCACACACCTTTACCAGGCGAAGAGAGTGGGAATCGTCGTTCGAAATCAGACACGTTGAATATTTTGGCGGATGAATTGGAAGAACTCGACTTGTAAGCCAGGGGAAACCCAATGATAAAGTAGTGAATGTCGCTAACTAATCTTTAATTAAGGTACAACGATCAAATATTCCATCCAATCACTCGATCCTGTAATTGTAATGTGTGTCTGCATTATCCATTAAGTACCACTTTCGCGGCAGAATACATGATGGCGTATTGTATAAATTCTGATTTCACTCAGATTTCCATGAAACACTTCAACGATGAGTTCGCCCAGATAAGAGAACGAGGAATGAATGCCCAAACAATGATGCACCGAGACAAGAGTGTGCGCCCGGTAACTTTCTCAATGTTAATTTCGAATACTAAAACAGTTTTATAGAGACCCAACATCATTCAAAACGAAGTTTTTGGTCTGTGCGTTATTCAATGGCTCAAAAGAAAAGTAGATACAAAACAGCTCGTGGATACAGAAACACTAGAAATATTCAAAAACGCATTGAAGGTTAGTAATTCGGACGAGCTACCTTTCTCAAACCGCCCATGATTTAGATTGTCAAATATCTCAATCTGCGAACAACTGATCTCCTTCTTGCTGTTCAACAACTTGGAAGACAACTCGAGTTCCCTCAGGACTGCAACTGTAGTTGGATGCATCCAATAGTCAAAAAACCCCGCGTCAAAGCTCGGTTGGATAATGCAGTTGATTTATTCCGAGCTGTTTCCCCATTCGGTCGTCGTCCAAAAAGCGACACTGAAGCTAGAGCACAACCATTTAACAAGGAGAGATACGACAAAGTGTGCCATGAAATTCGTCGTGAAATGACTCAGTACACACATATTTTATACAGGTATCACAAAATGAGAATATTTCTGAACAATCGAAAACTTTTCAGAGAATGGCGAAGTCGGTTGTTCCCATATGTTGGTCGTACATCGAAGGATCCATGGCTATCTGCATATGCATGGGCTGAATCAACACTTATTGGTTCTAGGAATGCAGTTCAATGCCGAATCGCAAAGTGCCGCAAAGGAGTAGTCACAATATCGGGGCAGGATCGTTTCAAAAATTGTGTTGAGGCGATGCCTGATGACATGACACTTGTTCAAATAGCAATGGCGGACAATAGGAACATCTACCTCATCAAATTACATGCCGATCGTGATCCCATCATTATGCCTCTCGCGCATCACACTCAAGCGGATGAATTGATGGAAAAGTTCTCATTCATGTTGGAAGAAGACGAACGCATTGCAAAATATCCAGGAGATATGACACCTGAAGAATTTTGGAAAAGACGCAAGGTTGTGGATGCACGCATGAGAGAATTTGTCAACGAAGTCCAGGAAAACTTTCTGGGCGTGGCTTCATATCTACTGATGCCTTCCGGTCGATTGGGAACGCGTGCAAATGAGTTGGCTCGAAAAATTTCCAAACTCTCAAAGGGAGGACTTTTGCCAGGAGAAGCCAAAGAAATAGTCTATCTATCCAAAAAAATGGATTCGAAATCTTGGAAAAAACTGATTCTCCGGTTTTGCGAAATGCGTACAACAGATGAAGATTTTGTGAGCTATCTATCCAAATTTCATGAAGTATCTCTGGAAACACTAGCAGAGGATGAAACTTCTTTAATTGATGCTTCAAACAAGAAATACACATACCTCGTCATATGTCCTCATCTTTCCCAATTTTGCTGGGAGCGCCTTCCAATATTCGAAGATTTTCCGTACGTTGGCCGACAAGTTTCCATTCACTCTATCTTCAGCCAGTTAGAAGCGATGAGGAACCAGGAGAAACAGGTTGTTCGAAATCACCGAGAAAACCCATAAGACTTTGTTATTCCAGATTCCTCTACAGATCGACGTACAGAACGCTTACTATGTTCTCGATCCAGAGAACAATTTGGGTGAAACAAAGAAACGAATGCTTGATTACATCAATAAGTTCAAATGGGAAGGGACCGTTGGAGAAGCACCTAGTTCTTCCGAGATCACAACAGCGCTCTCTCAATGCGACGCATTTTTGTAAGTAATACATTTGAAAAAAAAAAGATGAATTCGTTTCCCTTCAGCTACTTTGGTCACGGATCCGGGTCTTCAGTCATGCCACGATCAGTTATCAAACAATCAACATGCAACGCTATCAGTCTCCTGATGGGATGTGGAAGGTTTTTTGAGCTCTAGGATTGAATGTCAATTATCTGTTATCTCATTTCAGTGTCCGAACCATTCCACAAGCACCCGGATTCGATGGAAAATCAGCCCTGCACGACTACGCAATGGCCAAGTGCCCTCTGATCGTTGGATGCCTGTGGACAGTTACAGATGGAGAGATCGACCGTTTTCTCATGCGAATGGTCGATGATTGCTTCGAGAAGACGAAATCAGTATCTGGAATCGACAAACTTCGTCAACTTTCTGAAGCAATGCACGAAGCGCGATCCAAAGCAAAGCTGAGATACCTTACTGGAGCAGCAGTTGTTATGTATGGTCTTCCAGTAGTTTCGAAGCCTGGAGTTGAAAAACAAATCTCAACGACACAAACACCTGACAGAAATCTAAGAACTTCTGGACTCCAAGAGGATAACTCAGCTACACGGACCCCTAGCAGGAATCTGAAAACCAGTTCCAAGCAAGTATTTCCAAGAACCGTTGATTTTCCTGAATCGAAAGACACCCGAACGCCGTCAAAGAGGCAAGTACTGAAAGTACTTCCCACGGAAGCGACTACGACGAGAATAACTAGATCGAGCGCACGAACCCCTTCGAGATCGCGACCATGCTAGTCAGACTACAAAACGGGTGTTGTTACTGTCGAGTATTTGCAGCATGCATACTAGTCAATTTATAATTTTAAATGAAACATTTTTCTTGTATAATAGTTGAAAATGAACGGTTTATTGTGTGATTGAAGTTGCATTTATGAGTTGACCAGTACATTAGAGAGGTGGAAGAGCTAAAAAGAAAACGGTAATAGAACACATTTTGTTGACCATGGCTTACCGCAATGATTTTTCCGAATCGTGTAGAAACAAATCAGTGAGATTACGATTAGAACAATAAAAATAATAGAGACGAGAGGGACGAATCCACTTGCCAAAAAGTTGAATATTGTGTCCTGGCCAACTGAACAAACTCGCTCATCTCGTCCATATGGACAATTCGGACGACCATTACAAGCCAAGGAGTTGGGAACACAATTCTCATCTCCACACGCAAATAGGCCTTCTTGTGTGCAATTTTTCACTGAAAAATCCATTTTACCGTATCTGCTCGAACAGAAGCCCATCCAAACCGTCAACTTTGAGATCACTTATATCGATTCCTGTGAAAGATATCAAAAACTTGTCAACTTATAAATTGTTCATCATAATTTCAAAAATATTTCATCAGTTGACAAATGTTTGATATCTTGCATAGAAATCGAAATAATTGAGCTTAAAGTTGAGGGTTTAGGTGAGTTTTAGGTTGTGCTCTTACTTCTTGTGTATGATGAGAAAAGTGCTGATATGGAAGTTGTGTTGAGACTTCGAACATCCGATAAATAGAATCGCACGAACATTTCGTTCGAAGGTGAGAAGACGTCATTCGCTGTCAATCCGCAAAATCTATAAAGAGTATCGAAAACAGGTTAAAATCCTCATTGGTAATTAGCTCACCTTCTAAGAGGCTTATCTGAAGTGTCACCAGAATATACTTCAACGAAATTATAAGCACATTGGTTTGGAGCTTTCAAAGCGAATTCTTTTACATAAAACGCGATTCTAAAATTGGATGGAACTGCGAGACGCCAAACACAATCTAGAGTTCCAGATGCATTTCGTGGAAGATTTGCAATCAAATCTTTCGTTCGAATGAATCCGTCTAAACCATTGAGATATTCAAGCAGACATTCTGAAAACTCATAGGCTTGTGAATGATTCATTCATTCAGAATGGGGTTCGTTCATTTCTCACCATGATTGTTAAATCGTCCAGTTTTACTTGGAACGATTGCATATTCAGCTGAAAATCCTTGATATTCTAACATTGCATCCGATCGAAACCGAATCCAAAGAAAACCTGTAAGAGCTTCTATTTTCTCTGACAACGAAGTGCTGATATTACCCGAAACTGCTCTTATTTCTCTCTTTGGCATTCGGTCACCACAAAAGCGACCAATAAGTGGAGAGAACCCGTAGCGACCATCACGAAATTCCTGGAATGGTAGAACTTTTTATTGGCTTGGAATCATAGAAAGACTACAATTACAGTAATCATCTAGCTAAAGCTTTTCTTTGCTCTCCAAATTAAAAAAAAAACATGAGCTTTCAAACTAATTGAAAACTCACAATAAAATCATTAGGGCACTCTTCTCCTGCTTCTATTTTGTCGTATGTTGATTCAATCTGAAATTGGTTTTCAAATAGGTTCACTTTTGATTAGAACCCACATGGAATACATGATGAAATTTAACTATGACATCGTGCTGTGGCCGAGAATGAATTACACGAACACAGTCAACGTTTGGAGGGTACCTGAAAGAAGATCTCTTAAAAGTTTCTTACTGTAGATCGTGTCTAACCTATCTGGAAAGTTTGGTGATGTGAATATATTGAAATTTTGTAATCCTATTCCTTTAATTGAGAGACACTGGTCGAATTGGGTAGAAGATGGATTTCCATTTGAATAGGACACGAAAAGAAATATAAATCATTTGAGACAGTTTGAATACAAACAACACTTACATAAAGCCAATATCGGCAAAATGAATCGCATGAAGTGATAACATGCGCGAATGCTTTTTTTGCAATTCGACAGCAAACAAACACTTTTTTGGGTTAGATGAAGAGAATTTCTGGAAGAGAAGAGAACCGATTGAGCAGAAAGAAAACGAGTGAGAAAAACAAAACAGGATAATGAGTGAGAGAAAGTGAATAGAAAGAGGATTACTGGGGTTGAATTGGAAAAAGGCAACAAAAAAATGGGGAGCGAGTTGTGGGAACGAAGAGATGAGTAATAAAGAACTATCGTCCAAAAGAAGTCCCAGTTTTTGAGTTTACAAAAGATTTCAGTTGTGCTCCAGAGATGTCCGAATGTCGTATTTTTTGTCATTCTTGGATTCCGGATTCCGAGTTCCTTGGAATATATTTTTTGACCAGATTCTGGAAACTTTTAATCTTACCCCTGGTTTTCAGCAGGTACCGTAAACACTCTAATGCCACCCGAATCGTCAAACTTGAGTCCATGTATCTCATTTACTGTGAGAGCTATAAAAAAGTGATAAATAAAATGTTGCTGATATCATGATAAACTTTTTATTAGCTGACAACTTTTTGATATCTTTCAAAAGAAGTGAGATAATTAGGCTCGAAGTCTACGGTTTGGGTGGCGTTCTACTAAGGTGTTTACGGTATGTTATCTTGCAAGAATTCTCAACCGCGATAATTATTCTTAAACTTCAGCTACTATTAATCAAAAAAATAAAGCATCATATGTGTTTTTCAGAATTTTCTTGCACATTGGAAATGACAGAATTTCTTATTCTGGATTCCGTTTTCTGGATTACGTGAACTTTTCATTTTTCCGGATTCCGAGAACATTATCTTAATTCGGATTCAGTATTCCAAATTCTGATTAATGAAAAAGGCGTTCCACACATTTCTACTGATTACACAGGTAATGAGTACCGTAGAAAAAATGGCGAATGACTGCTAGTTGAGCTAAAGAAGAACCGAAAGGCCGTCGACGGACTATTGACGGAGTTTCGGAACCCCTTGGAAAACCAACTTGAAAATTTCTATTGGAAATCAATCAGAAAGCAATGTTTCATGGTTTGATTAAATTATAGAATGATGATAAAAGTTACCAAATCTAGCAACAAAAAAAGTTCTATAAAAATTATAGTTTCATAACAAACCTTGTATAGGAGTACTGTGATTATTTTTTTTTGTTTATGGGGAAACAAGGAAACCCCAACCAGGAAAGAAAAAAAAGCTGAGAATATGGAAGAAAGAGAAAGATCAAAGTGTGAAGGAGCTTTGACGAGTATGGACAGGTAGTCTTTCAGAAAGCGATTCATCCAAGTGGAAGCACAAAGAAAAGAATGTTTATGTAGGTGTTCTTCTCCTCCTCCACCTTCTTCCTTTTCTTTTTTCCTCTTTTTTTTCTTTCTCAGAATGCAGCACACAATGAAAAAGCGAATGAGAAGACGTAGAATAAGAAGAAGAAGAAGAAAAAGATGTAGGATGAGTTGAGTATATGGAGACTCGAACTCGACGAGCTTCAGACGCAGAGATGTGCCTCAGAAAATTGAGTTTGCGTTGAGGAGAATGGGCTCCAAATCGAGGGGAGCCTCACGGGGCGAAAGACGTTTTGGCGGCGTTAGGTCGGACGACAAATAGAGAAGAAATGAGGAAGAAGAGTTGTCCATTAGTCGAATGGGAAGATGTCTGGAAGAGACAAAAACACGAAACTGATGAAGACTGGGAAAAAAGTTTTCCATACGAAATAGGGGATAAGAGTATAAATGGAGCATTTTCAACTTGAAATTGACAAAATGCATGAATATGGATAAATGTGACAGTTTGGGAAATTTTGAATAAGAATGACTATGGTTTTGTTCAAAAAAATATTGAAGGTTTAAATTCCACAGGCTTGTGATTTCTAATGACTCAATTCTACGGTTTAGATTAAGAACCGTCATTCTGATTATGGAAGTCCTACAGGTTTCGAACTTTGAAGTTGAGCCTATCAAACTTTATGAACGATAATTTTTTGAATTTCTATTTTTCAATATTATGTCTGTCTAAAAAGGTTATGTGGACAGTAAATCAAAACTACAGTAAGCTGAAAATGTTTGTACTTCTCTGGTTCTTTTTCAGTTTTTACTGCTTCGTGTCATTTCTCCAAAAAATGCATAAAATACAAAATAAAACTTGCCGGAAAATATACGAAAAGCAAGGTAATCAATTATAGGAAAATGAAAATATTTTCAGGTTACGGTAGCTTTCATTTTGGACCCTGCGGCTCCGACCACCGACGTTTTTCTTCCACAACTCTTTTTTCTTGACTGACATATTAAATGAATGTTTTCAAATGGAAGATTTGGAACTTTAAATTATGAATTTTGTCATAAATAGAACGATTAACCCAAACTTTGCTCTCGATTATCTCGATCCCTGTGAAACATATCAAAAAGTTGTCAACCGATAATTTATTTATTATAACATCACCAATACTTTATCAGGTAACAAAAATTTGATATCTACAACAGGAATCGAGATAATTGAGCTCAAAGTTCAAAATAGAGATGGCGTTCTATTAGAGCGTTTAATTGTAAGAAGTTTTCTAATGGAAAACTGGTTTGGATATTGCTAGATGTTCAACTTATAAGGGTGTTATAATCTAATAAATGCTAATTTGCTTACTATAGTTTACTCGCTCTTAGTTAAAAAATATAATCTGTAAACATTTTGAACTATTTAGAATTGTGGTGAATTCTTCAGCAAAATTCAGATCTCTGTAAAATGTCGACCTTGAAAAAAATTATTGTGAATCGACAAAACTCAATGCAAAAGGTTCAACGTATGCAAAGTGAATAACTTTCGCACTTTTTCTCGTTTGCCTTTTTTTCTTCAAAATCAAATCATAAAATGCGTCCTTCTTTTAACTTCCTGCACCCTTTCTCCCCTTTGCTTCTATGCAAAATTTTTCATGCAAAATTTGGGCTGAATATATTTTCGAAAAATATTTACTCGTAAGAACCAAGAAGTTGTATATCGAGTGATGTGAGTACAGTTGACTTTCAGTGTCTTGCTGGTTTTTTTTTAATGAATCGCAAGAAAAGTGAATCTCGGGGAACACTAAAAAATGAAGGGGCAAAATCTACAAAAAAATGGGAGGGATGGTGGGAAAATGAAAATGGGATTAGGGATTTGATGAATGAAAAAAAATGGGAAGGGGGGGGGGGGGCTGAATTTTAATTCTGTGGTTGGGCATTCACTGGTTGTTGCTGGAAATCGGCGGCTTCTTCTGGGAATTCGAGTTCCCAAATTCTCTTCAGATGCTTTCCCTTGACGTCACGAGGAGTTCCAAATCCAGTCATTCCCTGAAAGAAACCAACAGTTTCTCTACTAAATAGTTGCGAATGTTTTTTTTGTAAAATTGAAAAAGTGCAATAAGGTTGGAAATACGGGGGCAAACGAGGCAAACTACTACTAATCCGACGGTAAACAAGATGAAAGGAAACGAAAGGAAACGAAAAAAGAAACGGTGAGAGAGCAATCAGTGATTACAACTTAACTCATTGACGCGTCATGACCGGATTTCATGCTTTAGAAATCAACGACCCTAGAAGAGTTCTAAACCATTGGAACCAATTTTTTGAAAAACTTGTAACTCTATTGAAGACCCTATTCCATTCCTCTCAATCCCCCAGAGATCAAATAACCGGGATATTCTTTGGAACCAAATAATGTGCTCTCTTCTTCATCTTTTCCTTTTTCTTCAATCAAAAACCAACAACCGCGGTACAAGGGACCATCACATAACATTGAACATTCTCTCTCTAACCAAAAAACACAACCTTTTGGCTCTCATACTGATTTGTTCCAGATTGAAGACGAACGATAGAATCGTGTGCTGAATTGTCAGCCACCTGCCAACGAGCTCCATGCTCAGCGAATTCGACTTTTGTCTGCGTATTCCGTGGCATACCGAAGCCAGTCTTTCCCTGTAAACGAACAATCAAGAACAGCAATCACATAGCAGTTAATTAGGAAAATGTAAATCAGAGAGAATGAGCAACATACAGAAAACAAAGGGAAATCACTCTGCCTAAACAAATAGAAAAACAAAAACCTTCTGAGATTCAAACTGATTTGTTCCTGATTGAAGTCGAACAATAGCATCAGAATATTGTTTCTGTTCCTCAATTAACCATTGCTTGTCATGGTCAGCAAAATCAACTTTGGTTTGTGTGTTACGTGGCATTCCGAAGCCAGTTTTCCCCTGAAAAACACAGACAAAACACATTGGACTTTGGACATATTTACAGACAATTCGTGATTTTTAGTTTCAACATTGACAAAGGTTACATCGAGTAGTTGTTGAAGTGGATTCTATATTAAAGGAGGCCAGACACGACAGTCTACGGGGTTTTCTCGGGGCGAGATCATGTATTCTGACGGAAAATCGCGCGATTGCGACCCAATGCGCGCTATTTGACGAGCATTTATTTTTTAGTATACACTAAATTTCTTCAATTTTAAGCAACTATTCCCGACTTTTTTTAGTTATTCGGTCATTCCAAGATGTCGCCGCATGAAAACAGAAAAAAAAACGAAAACAGACATCTGGAAGTTGAACCCGCGATGCACGACTGATAGACAAGCGCGCTCACCTCTACACCACACACACGGCCTCGCGGAAGGGAACCTAGATTTAAAAATTGGAAAGCGCGCCAAGTTTGGACGCGTAGCGCGGTCGCGTCGCGGCTTTTCGGTGAGTAGCGACTCAACAACGCTTAACTTCATGTTTTTTTCAAAACACGTTTCAAATTTTTCGAATCTGGCACACAGCCAACTTTTGTGTGCGGCGAAGCGCGCGTTTTTCAGGTTCCCAACCGCGATGCCGTGCACACAGGGCTTGTCGGCTTCTGCCGCTAAAACGATTATGAAACGAGGAGTGGGTGCCGCTTGGAAGAACGGTCGCGTTTTCGCTTGTACAATAACAGGGAGTTATGGTTTGGTGTCCCTTGTTATTTTCTGACTGTACGGTGTCATATATCAAAAAACTAGACTTTTGAAAATCTTCATGTCTGGCCTCCTTTAAAACACACAACAGAAAAACTTTAGATATCGTAAAGCCTGTAATAAAAGGGCCCCACACTCTCAAGTTTGTGCTCAATTATCTCAATTCCTTTGCAAGGTATCAAAAATGTTTCAACTGACAAAACACTTCTAATATTATGTTGAACAATTTATCTCTCACAGGAACCGGGAAAAATCAGCCTAAAGTTAAAAGTTAGGGGGCTCTTTTAGAGGTCGTACGGTATTTGAAAATCTAAACAGATGGTCCTTCAGATGGACCCACTTATAAAGCTATATTTCTTCTATAGTTTGACTTTAATTCTTCTGATTAGCCCAATTTTTTATTTTGTGATAGAAGTGATGATTGAAAATCGCGAGGGAGAGCAAGTGGCGAGGTTTGTTTGGATTTCGAGAGATAATTCTCAATTTCTCTGCGTCTCCTATCTTACTGTCTTTCAACACTGTCAATATCCGAGTTTACTATTTTTTTTCTTTTGAAGGGTAGCTCACTTTCTCGTCTTTTAGTATACATGAACAGAAAAAAGACTCACTCTTTGACTGTCAAACTGGTTAGTTCCCGATTGAAGTGGTACCATTGCATCGGTTTGACGAAGTTGGCGAAGAGTCCATTTTCCTGGAAAGTTGATAAAGCTCAGGGAAAAGTTTTAATTGATAGTTTTTAAAGCTAACTTTGATAAATGGTTTATCATAATATCAGTAGTGTTTTGTTAGTTGACCACTTTTCGATATCTCGCATAGGAGTTGAGATAATTAGGCTCAAACTTAGCAGCCATAAACAAGTCGAAAAAAGCGCTCCAGCAAATAATAAAGGTTTGGTACTCATCCAACAAAGTTCGGTAGCGAATTTAGAATTTTTCGAGATTTGCTGGGGCGCCTTTTCTGACCTTGGAAACCGAGTGGGCCCTGCTATTACAGGTTTTACGGTATTATAAAGTCTTGTTCTTGTCAATTTGCATGATTTTAAAGCGTTCATTTCTGCAGAAACCACAAAAATTAAAATCCAGTTTTAGCAAATTCAGTAGCTCAAAAACCATAAGATTTGAATTTTCCAGCCAAAAGTTATCGTGGTCTATAACAAGTATAGTTTTGTTTTGTATGACACTAAACAAACATACAAAAGCTATTCTCAAAAACTACAATATCCTATTTCCCTGCATGAATATTTGAGAAGTTTTGGTTCATGAATCTTAAGGTTTATGAAGATTGAGCAAGTTTTACTAAAGTCGTCTGGGTGTGAAGTAGGAATACTATTTTTCTCAATTTTAAAATGATTTTGAGAAGATGGATGAATGTTAAACTTTCAACTTTTTTGATTGTCAAAGCTTCTATTCGTTATTTGGATTTGGAATTTTAGGAATAAACAAAATTAATAACATACCATCACGAGTTCTTCTCTCCAACGACTCGTTGCTTGGTACTTCGACTGCAGCAATCTTGAGTCCAGCTTCTGAAAATATGAATTTCAGACGTCTTGAATCTTAAAATTATTGATCACCTTGCTGTTGTGGTGGCACTGGGGAAGCCATTTCTTGAGTTGGATTGAGTGTGTGTGTTAGTGTGCTCCCGAGACGGGGTTACTAACTGCTTTTGCTCCCTCCTTCGCCGATACGAAAACTATGGATGGGCGGAGTCGTTCGGGTTACTCAGACAGTCTGCGTCTCCTGGGATCATCTAGAAAGTTGGAAAAAAGAAAAAGGGAAGAGTGAGAGCGTGGGGTGTCCTCCCCTTGGGTTTGAGAATACACCCACAAGCACTTGTTTCATAGAGGTAGACACAAAAAAAATGGTAGAGGAAGACAGGAAAAGAGACAATAAGAAACTAATAGAGGGAGTGAAGAAATCGGACAGTACTAGGACTGCTGATTCATTTTTTTTGCGAAAAAAGTTAGAGGAGGCATGAGTTTTGGAGGATGCTTTCGGGAAAGAAAACATTCTGAGTCATATTGAATTGGAAACATATGTGGGGGAAATTTTTTAAACATTGCAAATTCAAAAGAGCAAATCTACGAACTTTGAAAAAGCTTTTTCAGTAACCGGTTTTCAGTTCCTGCTGATGATGTTGTTGTGATAAGAAAATTAGGTTTTTTTTCCACAGTTTGCATCTAGAGTATTGGTTATCATCCAGTTACCGTATTTCCTCTAACAGAAGCTTGCACAAGCGGTTTGAGCTCAATTTTCTCGATTCCTACGGAAGAAGTAAAGAATTTGTCAACTGACAAGTTATTTATCACAATATCACTAATGTTTTATCAGTTGCCACATTCTCGATATCTCTTACAGGAATCGAAATAATTGGGCTCAAAGTTGAATGTTTTGATCAGTTCTCCAAATGGATAGAAAAGTTCTAAAAACACATGTTGTTATATATTTTTGCATCTTTAGTCCTAAAAAAATTAACAAATATGTTTAAAATCCGGAATAAAAAATTTTCTCGGAATACGGACAAGTGAAAATTTTCCGGAATCCGGAATACGGAATCCGGATAAAAATATTTTTCACGGACTTCCACTGAAAGTTTAGTTTTATTTGGCAGAAAACTATCCAGAGGTATAAATTAATCTAAACTTTCAGTATTAACCAATTTCATTATCAATTGTGTTATCAGATGAATTGTTCGATCTCGATCCGAACTTTCGAAAGATTTCTTGAAACGCATGACATCATTGCCGGGGTTCCCCCCGTAGTTTCATCCTTCTTGTGTTTCTTTTACTTTATCTTCTCCCGATTTTTCGCATGTCGAAATCCTAAAGAATCGAAGATCAAGAGCCCCTGGACGAGGAAGACAACTGTGTTTTGTCTCCATCCCTTAACCCCCGTCATCATCATCGAAACCAATTGGTTCCATCTGTTTTTGCTCATCGTCATAGAGAAAACTGAAAACAAAACTGGACCAACTGACTCGTCGCTAACCTTTACCACCCACCAATTTGATCGGAAGCGTGAGAAAACTTTTTTGTATTGGAAAAGAAAAGAAAAGAAAGAAGAAGTCTGAAGGGCTGCGATCCAACAGGAAAATGATGTTGCGAAACTTTGATATTTGGATAGCGCCGAGACGAAAAAAATGAAATCCGAGTTAAATTTACTCACAAAAAGATCAATTGATAGTTGATCTCTTCAATAAAAGAAGTCACAATTTTGGTATCTTATAGTAATTCCCATAGAATGCAGACATTTAACAGTTTAAGAGAAAGTTGATCTTTATTCTGGTACAACAAAATCGGAGCTGTGGTAGAGAAAAGCTAGTAGGTGTGGCCAACGGTCCCGGAAACCACCGTAACCTAAAATGTTAGCTCCTTTTTTCTAGATTAAAATTGCTTTTTGACCAGTTTTGTGTTGAAAACCTCCAAACAAGTCGGAAAATGAAATTTTTGAATCAAAAAGTCGCCTGAAAACGGACTAAAATCGAGATAAAAAAGCAAAAATATTTTCTAATTACGGTAGACCGGTCGTGACCGCGGTCATCAGATTTTCTCTTCCATAGCTCCGACTTTGGCATATCAGGATAATGACAAATGTTTGGATCCTGGAAAAAATATCCGGAGCATCATCCAGTTACCGTAAACACTCTAATAGAACGGCGCTTGTAACTTTGAGCCTGTATATCTTGGTTCCTGGGAAAGATATTAAAAAGTGGTTGACTGACAAAATATTTTTAATATTATTATAAGCATTTTTTCAGTTGACCAATTTTCGATATCTTTCACTGGAACCAAGTTATTCAGGCTCAAAGTTGATGATCTGGGGGTGCGTTCTATTAGAGTGTTTACGGTAAGTTTTCGGAAAGTATTAGAGATTGTTTTATATTCATCGTTTAACCACATGACAAGTAATATCCTCTAACACGTTACATGTTGTTTTGTTTGTTTTTCATTATCCACCCATCCACTCCAACAAATTCTTGCTCATTCTCACATAACCTACAATAATTGGTGTGAGCTCACAGCCATGGTACTTCGCAGGCTTCCCTTCTTCTCACTTTCTCTTCACGCGAGGCTTTTGATATCAAATATCGGAAAGCTCCAAGTTTATTCTCTCCCATCGGAGGATCGTCGTGGCACCTCTACTTCTAGAGCTACACACAAAAACCAATTAAACGGGTGTGCGCGGTTCGTCTCTGCTGCTTGGGTTGAGCCGGCTCTTGAGTAAATAAAATGAGGTGAACTGCTCGCGAAAAGATCCTCATATCCACACAAATCTAAATCTTTTCTCAACAAAGTATCAGCAGAAAACAAAAAGAGATAAAGAAAAGCTTTGTTCCTGTACTATTATCATAGAGAGAACATAAGTGAAGATGATTATCTGGGATGACAGAAAAAGGGGCATATAAAAGTTTAAATAGAATATCAATGATTACAAAAAATGGAACCCGCTTGATATTAACATGCGGATGAGAAACGAAATCCCGGAAAAAAAACTAGATGTAAAATGCAGTTAAATACTGGGGGATTGTATTGAAGGAGAAGGTAAAAGAATGCGATAAAACTTTGGCAAACCGAGGAGAAATTATTGTACAAAATATGTAGTTGATCATCGAGATGAAGATTGAAAGACATGGTATGGGAAAGGAAAGTTCATAGCACACACCGTTCAGAAAATGTTTAGCAACGCTAGAAGATGTGGTCATTTGGTGAAGCCGCCTAAAAATTATATAAAATTCAAACTGAAACTGTTGGATGACCGAACCCTATTAGTCCTTCGTCTCGACCGCATTCTCTGATCGATTTCTTCCTTCAACTTGGCAACACTTGGCCGGTTTTGAGTGAATTCGTTGTGAAGAAAATAGCGGTGACAGAGTGCTCCTTTCGCAGTCAATCGATGTTCTGGTGGGTAGCGTAAGATCTCTCGCAGGATGTCAAGACCATGTCCAGTAAGACAGGATAGTTCTGCGAGCTTGTTCAAATTGAATGACCATTGCGGGAAGACAGTTTTGAAATGAGGGTATTCAGCGACTCCAGGCCAGTTCTATAATTAACTTTTACGGAATATCGGATGAATAAAAGAGTACTCTTGTATTTGGCGTCCCTATGATCTCGAATATTTTGAATAGTTGAGAGATTTCACATTCACCCGGAAACAATGGTTTGGTGGAGGCGATTTCAGAGAAGATACATCCGAGTGACCACATGTCAAGCGAAGTGGAATACCGTTGCGAACCAAGGAGAATCTGAAAATGATTGTTTATGATTATGGTTCTAGTAAAAGCGAGTGATACTTCAGGTGGGCGGTACCATAGAGTAACAACTTCATGTGTGTAATTTCGGCTGGGAAATGAGAAGTTTCTGTAATATTAATTACTTTCATTGCTTCAAGTATTTCACCAAGATCACCTAGCCAGTCCGAAATCGGCGATTTTTACGATGCCCGAATTCGAAACTAGGATATTCTGTGGCTTCAAGTCTCGATGAACGATTCTTCGAAGATGACAATACGAGAGTGCAGAGAGAAGTTGCCACATGAAGGACTGGAAATCGAGGATTATTCGATATTAAATTGATTTCAAAGTGCTCACTTTCACATATTCTTGCGGTAGCATCATATCTACTGGATCAAGCATATCCATCAAATTTTTCAGATCTTGGTCGATAAATTCGAATACCATGTATAATTTGCTGTCTGAAACTTAATTGTCCCTTTTGAATATCGTTTTATTCAACTCACTGGCGTAGATAATATCGAAAAGAGTGACAATGTTGTCATGCTGCAGGTCTTTGATACATGAAATCTCACGAAGACATGTACTCGGAATACCTTCTTCGTCTCTGTCGGTTCGAATCATTTTCAGAGCACATTGCACATTGTCGCGAACATGGACCGCTTTGTAAACGACACCATACGTGCCTTCACCGATTTTTCTGAAAGCTCGAAAACGGCCTGATAGATCTCTTTCTGAAACGAATTGATGTTTTAAAGGGGGGAAACCGAATTAGATGAAAAACTCACCAGGGGATATATCTGTTGGCATATCAAGGTTCAATCTGCAATTAACGAATTCAAGACTTGAATAAAGAGAACAGTTCAAACAGTGTTTTCCCGCGCTACCACCTAGTCACAAAGGATGACAAAGAGACGCAGCGAGAGAGGCAAAATTACATATACACGGCCAACAACAGTTACCGAAACAGTGAAAATAATCGGAAGAGAGAGCGAGAAGAAACTTCGAATAAAGAATGGACTCGTTGGGCAAATTCAAATGTCATCAATCGACAGATCGACGGTTTATGAGCACGGAGTTGAAAATTTAAATTAACAAGACATGTTCTTTGAGGCCTAATCATATCACACTACAACAAAAATTGCAGAGAATTGAACTTCGCAAACTGTTTTCTTCATTTCAACACTCAAATACAGCTTGAAAAAAAACGAAACGAAAAACCCTTGAAAATGAAGAATCTCCCGCACTGTACGCAATCCTGGAATTATGGTTTTCTCACCGTCTCCTTTTTTTCATGCTGTCTCATATTATCAAAAGGCGGGAGTTCAAATCAAGCAGGCTACAGTAAGACTATAGAAGAGAACACACCAGCTGGGAGGTAAACAAAAAGTGGGAAGAACCATCTGGGAGGAAAAATGGGCGGAGCCGGGGGC